GAAGCTACCTAACTTGTTGGCACTAGTATGTGACCTTGCGCTTGTACACAGAACCACAGTAGGATGATTATTGGGCATAGAGTGAAGAATATATTGATATTTTCCACAATGATTATAATTATTACGTTTCATGCTACATTATTATGTTACTCCTGTGTGATCTTCCTTACAGTATGTATCCTTTTTATGTCACACATTTTTAAAAACAAGATATTCATCAATGTGACTCATTTGGCCTACTGCAGATCACTTGTACAGATACAAAGCTTCTAGAGCTGATGGTATTTTTCTTAGCAGTATTTACTCTCATGGTAACTTTGGATTTGGTGATTCTCTTCTATATATTCATTCATTGAGAATATATGATCACCCATTTCATCTCCTAAAGCCATCTGTAGAAGTTTCTATGGTTCACTGGGTATTTTTATTAAAATATGGTACAAGCATGTTTAAGAAGGCTAGTGTCTGTCTAATCCCTCAGTGTTTTGTTTTATTAAACATTAAATTAACGTAATAGCACATAGCATTTTTAAAATAAGGGCTTATTTGTTTGAAAGAGTGAATTTCTCATTTATTGGGGTCTAATAAATTGTTTTCTTTTTTATTACATAATATTTCCCTTTCTCATAAAGTAGTGTTTTAAAACACACAAACACACACATGTGCACACATATAATGACTCATATATATAAACATACACACACACATATATATATATATACACAAGACACATACAGACACACAAACACTGACATTCATAGACATACACACAGACACACTCATACCCCCCCACATACATTCAGAAACATAGACACAGAGAGAGAGAGAAACATTCACAAGTAGTCACACAGACACTGACACACACAGACATATACACAGGCTTGCACACACACACAGATACTGAAACATAGAGACACACAGACACACACACACAAACACACATAAACACACACAAAATGTATACAAAGACGTACATATGCACACACATAGAAACACACACACACTTAGACAAATACACACATATGCACATATACAATTATTCTGTTTCTATTTCTATGTCTTATTTCCTAGCTTTTAAGATTAAATATTTCTCTTCTAAAAAGTAAAGTGTTATAATTTTCTGTATTTATTCTATTTATCCTGCTCTAACAACCCAGAATACAATGCTATATTCTGTAGCAATGACTTCCAGACCAATGACTAACAAGTTTTATCATGTGCCAAATGCAAAAACATCTGACTTTCTGATCTTCACTATGAAGGCACAGAAATAATTTACATATGGGGGAATTTAACCACACTGTGACAAAAGAAATGGATATACCTCCAACAAATCTCTTCTTATATATACTGTGGCTTGAATGCAAGTGAATTAATCTCATTGATACATCTACAAACATATCTATCTGCCCATCAAAGTCAGGGTCCCAGCCAGAGTATGTCCTGCCTACTGCTTACTATGTCTCCAACAGTACATCACTTGATCTCAGTCATTTAAATCATTTTCTTAAACCCCAAGCTTGGAATTTATTTTTCTTGAATCTTTCTTTTGCATAGATTATTTATTCAAATCAACCTCTCTCTAAAATTTCTAAAAATATTTTTCTAATTTTTTATAATACAAATTTTCTGATTGGGTTCTTTAGATTTTATTATTAGATTCATCATTGTTCATTTTGCCAAAAATCTTTGTATTGAACAGAGATTGCTAGAAAACAAAACTAAATAAAGTAATTTTCATTATATTTTCAATAGTTAAGGGCTTGATTCAAGCATTTGGGTCAAATGAGAACTTGAAGAACCATGGATATACAAATCAGGAAAGTAAATGGTGCAAACGGGAAGTGCTTGAATAAGAACCCAATAGCTATAGCCTCAGTCATCTTAACCAAAGAAGCTAGAAAATAGTAGAAAACCAAGGCAGGAGAGGGAATACAGAAAGAAATGATGGTGAAGATCAAATCTGGGAGAGAGAGAGAAAGGATAGGGCAGAGGGCTTGCAGAGAGAAAAGAAACCATGGATGAGGACATCTCTGCGAGAAGCTGGAGACAAGGTAGGCTTCTGGGAGGATATGGGGGTGACTCTAGCTAAGCCTCCTAGAAGCAGAGGTCATGGAGACTGACGAGGACACCCTCTAACTAGACAGGACTTCTAGTGGAAGGAGGGGAACCCCAACCCACCCACGAAAACTTTGACCCCAAATTTACTCTGCTATCAAGATGTGCAGGGATTAAAAAAAAGGGGAGGGATTGAGGGAATGTCCAACCAATACCTGGCCCAACCTGAGACCCACTCACTGAGAGAGAGGCAACCCCTGACACTATTAACAATGTTCTGCTAAGTTTGCAGACAGGATCCTAGCATAGCTGTCTGCTGAGAGGCTCCACACCACAGCAAATGAAAACAGATGCTGAGACTCACAGCCAGTCATTGGACAGAGTGCAGGGAGTCTTGTCGAAGAGTGGGAGCAAGGATAGAAGGACCTGGAGGGGACAAGAGCTCCACAAAAAGACCAAGACCAACAGAGTCAACTAACCAGAGCCCAGAGGGGCTTGCGGAGACTGAAGCACCAACCAAAGACCATGCATGGACTGGACCTAGACCTCTTACACCGATGTAGCCGATGGGCACCTTGATCTACGTGTGGGTCCCCTAGTAAAAGGAGTGGTGGCTGTCCCTAACACGGACTCTGTTGCCTGCTTTTTAATCACTTCCCCTGGTGGGGCTGCCTTGCCAGGCCACAGGGGAAGAAGATGGCTCAGTCCTGATGCAACTTGATGTGTTGGGATGGGTTAGTGGGTCGGGGCTCTCCATTTCTAAGGAGTATAGGAAGGGCAATGGGGAAAAGGAAGGACAGAGAGGGAGAAAAAGAGATGAGACGGGTGGAGCTATGATCAGGATGTATAGTGAGAAACAAACAAACAAATAAACAAATAAAAAGGAGAAGAAAATAGTGGGAAGCCAGAGGCAGCTGCAAAAATGAGTTCTTGCTCAAGAAATGACTTCCTACCACCACTCTCAGCTACTGGGACACTGTTGATTTCTGCATACTGTACTGTCCATATTCCCAATTCTGTGAACATTTTTCTCATGTAAAAATGCAGCCTTGTCAAGCCACAGAAGAAGACAATGCAGCCAGTCTTTGTGAGACGTGATAGGCTAGGGTCAGATAGAAGGGGAGGAGGACCTCCCTTATTAGTGGACTAGGGGAGGGGTAGAGGGGGAGAAGAGGAAGGGAGGGTGGGATTGGGAGGAGATGAGGGAGGGGCCACAGCAAGGAAAAAATGAATAAATTGTAATAAAAACAATAATTAGTAAGAATAGTTTTAGATTAACAGTAACAATGACAGTAGCCCTGAGCGTGCAATTTGTTATCAGAATAAACAAATACGCAAGTTTCTGGCCAAAGTCCACCTGTGGTAGATTTGCTCAAAACAGCAATTAATTCTTGGAATTCTATACCAATAAAGACATAAAGGTGAGTAAGAGCCTCCAAAATTGCCTTCCCACAATCACGCCAATTTGTACAGATATTCACACATCCAACTCCAAAGGGATGTGAATATGAAGAGATATGGAAGCAACACCGAGAGCAATTGCTTTGGCTTAGAATAACAATAAGATGCATTGAAGCAACATGGAGCAAACTTGCTACATTCACCCTGTTCCTAAGCAGCATATGAAGAAACCCCCTTTATGAAAGAGAAGGAATTAAGTCTAGGTTCCCATTTGGGAGCCAATAACTGACCTGGCATGATTAAGCCAGCAACAGAGTGAGATAATATCTCAAGGCATGGACTCACAGACTCAATCACCAGAACTGAATTCTTCCATTGTTCTCCCCCCAGTCTTGAACAACAGAGAGAAAGCAAGACACTACCTGATAGGGAAAAAGGACTGAAAGCTCCTGAGGACTGTGCTTTGGAATTCAGAACCAGGCCTCCTTATTGAGGTCCTTCTCCCAAGGAAAACCAAAGCCTTTCTTTCCTAGGTCAGAGTTTTAGTTGGGTGCTCTAACTGGTTGAATCCTGAAGCTCATCGGAACAGATTTACTTTGGCTTGGACCGTTGCCATTGCCATCTCTTGCTGAACCTAGAACACTGCTCTTCCCCTAGAGATTGCACAGGTTGGTGTGCCTATTAGATTTTGGTATGGCCAACTTAGCATCAGCATTGGTGGTCAGGAGACTGCAGTCTATTTGTTAGTCTTGGACAGCACACCTATTTTCGTGTCAGTGAGAAAAACTATTTTTTAGAGCTGTCCCACACCACACTGAGTCAAGGTGTGGTGAGCACTCCTATCAGTCTGAATCGTTACCAGCTGTACTGTGAGCCTATGCATACCTTGATACTGTAGGCCTTTGTGGCTGTGAGATTTCTGAGAGTCAGTTGCAAACCAGGTAAGCAGTTGGTGGACAAAGGACTGCTTTCAGCAATGATACCAAACCTAACAAGTCATGTGGAGTCAACTTTCTAAGCATTACGTAATACTTTATTCTCTGTGCAATTTAAACTTTATATAATGCAATGTTAGTAAAATTAACAGGAAATAGTAGTTTCTTAACTTGCTCAAAGATATCACTTTATAAACTAACCCATGAAATTAATTTTAAGGAATAAGCTTTCTTGGAGCATTTTAGCATGTACAATAGGTACAAAATTATAATTATTAAAGGCTTTTAAAGTATACAATTGTTAAGTGAGGAGGTAAAGTATATTTTCTTTAAATAATAGTCCTTTAATTATTTGTATTTATCGACATTTTTGATCTATAGGCTTATAGTTCAAAGAAAATTTGGATTTTATATTTCTAGCATAGAAAGATATTGTTCATCTTGAATAAAAGAGATTAAAATAAAAATACACATAACAGATTAGTTTCTAATCTTGAGGAAGTTAAAATTAAACAAATAACTGAATTGCAAATATTCATTATTAAAAACCACAAATTATTTGACTAACTTTTTTGTGTTTTATGTAAATCACTTAACTAAGTTTTATTACCTTCCTGAAGCAGGAAATATTCTTCTAAATGCTATTCCAAAGGCTTGTTTGACTTGCTTATTCCTCAGTGTATAAATGAATGGGTTCAACAAAGGGGCAACTGAAGTGTTGAGCACAGCTATTCCTTTGCTCACAGTTACTCTTTCATTTGCTGATGGCTTTATGTAAATAAATATGCAACTCCCATAAGTGAGAAAAACAACAATCATGTGAGAAGAACAAGTGGAAAAGGCCTTTTTCTTTTGCTGAACTGAAGGGAATTTTATAATCGTCTTGACAATGAGAGCATAAGAAAGGATTACTACTGTTAATGTGACAATGAGTGTCATTAGAGCTAAGACAAAAGCAGCCAGTTCTAGTAAATGTGTGTCTGAGCAAGAAAGCTGTAGGACAGGAGAAACATCACAAAGGAAATGGTCTATGACATTTGAAGCACAGAAATCCAAGTCAAGGCCAATAATCAAGGGTGGAAAAATCACCAAGAATCCAGTTACCCAGGAACCCAGGACAAGCTGATGGCAAACTTTGCCGCTCATGATGGATGCATAGTGCAAGGGCTTGCAGATGGCAATATAGCGGTCATAGGACATGGTAGCCAAGAGGAAAAACTCTGTGCTCCCCAAGAATATGTAAAAGAATAATTGACATATACAACCATTATAGGAAATTGTATTGTCCTTAGTTACAATGGTGACTAAAAATCTGGGAACGCAGGTTGTTGTGAATAAAATTTCTAAGAAAGAGAAACTACGGAGAAAAAAGTACATTGGTGTCTTGAGAAGGGGATCTAGCAGAGTGAGGACAATGATAGTTAAGTTTGCTAGCATACTCAGCAAGTAATTTATTAAGAGAAACAAAAAAATTACAATCTGTAACTGAGAATTATCTGAAAGTCCGAGAAGGATAAATTCTATCTCTCTTGTATGGTTCTTCATTTCTCTTTGTGATCTCATTCAAGTTCTAGAAATAAAAAGATATATAAATTAAAATCCACATGTATTATAAGATCATATTATTAAAGCACAGCTCTTTCAAATGTAATATTTATGGATATTAGAGATATGGTGGTAACTATATGACAACAATTTACCAGTAAGAATTTAAAAGTAACAGAGAATTCCACTCATCATTGGAAATAGATCTGAACAATTTTAAGAGCTTAATTTTTCTACTCTTTCAGTTTAAATTTTGAGTTAATTGTAACTAATTACGGATCTGTTAAATTAGTAAATAGCTTTGCATTGAGAATAAAAATAATCCATTTAGTACTATATTACTGATTTACCGAAGAGTAATTATGACTGTATAATAAATTAAAATCTGTAGTTTAATTAGTAACCCTTAAATTTCATGCTAAAGTATGTCTTGTTACCTCTCAAAGTTTTTCTGTGAATTACAGACATTGTAGAGAAATACAATTGATATTTAAGTTTAAATAGCAAAGTAAATAATAGTTCAATATAAAAATTGAAAGAGCTGATTAAATATTTACAAACCAACTTACAAAAACTTCAAAACATAAAATAATCATTTGTAACATCAAAATTTTATCTCCTGTAAACAAGATTATGAAAAAAAAACAAACAATACATTGCCTCTTCCTGTCATCTCTATCTACCTATAGGTCCTTAGTTTAAAACCTATTTACTCCATGCAACACCGTGAGACTGAAAACAAATTAATATCTTACTGTGCATTTTACGTCCTGGTGTTTCCAGCAGCTACTTACTATTGTGGCTATTAATCTAAAGAAGTGTTGATATAGAAAGTATGTACTTACTTATTTGTTTTAGGTAGTTGAATGCTCTATCTGCATGTACACCTGCACGCCAGAAGAGGACATTAGATTCCAATGTAGATGGTTGTAAGCCACCATCTGGTTGCTGGGAATTGAACTCAGACCCTCTGGAAGAGAAGACAATGCTCTTTCTGAAGGGGTTCTGTGGAAATATAGGGAGAAAGATGGAAGGACCTGGAGGGGACAGGAACCTCACAAGAAGACGAAGAGAGACAACTAACTCAGTCCCATGAGGGCTTACAGAAACTGAGACATCAACTAAAGAGCAGGCATGATCTGGACCCAGGCCCCCTGCAGGAGAATCAAGTAGAGGAAAGAAAAGAAAGAGAGAGAAGGATAGTAAGAGGAAGGACAGCTAAAATTAAGGGCTTTGTGAGGTATAGTTTGAAAACTTAATACAGTAGAAGCTTCCTGAAAATATACATATATGTAAACAATCTAAATGATATCACCAAATAATAGGGGATATAGATCAACTGGATCTCTCTAATCACCAATGTTTAACTCCTCCTCAGCCCCCACAATCCATCCATAATCACCTATTCTATTTCCCTTTCCTAGCAAGGTTATCTGTATAACCTCTGGTCCCTTACTTTATCCTTAACATTCATGGTTCTATGGACTGGAGACTGGTTATCATTGACTTAAGAGCTTATGTCTACCTACAAATGAATGTGTATTATATTTGTCTTTCTGAGTCTGGGTTACCTCACTCAGGATTATTTTTCTAGTTCAATCCACTTACCTCAAAATTTCATTTTTTTAACTGTTGAGTAATATTCCACTGTGTAAATGTACCACATTTTCTTTATTCATTGATCTGAGGGACATCTAGATTGGTTCCAATTTCTATCTATTTTGAATAAAGCAGCAATTGCCATGGTTGAGCAAGTATCTCTGTTGGAGGATGAAGCAGTGTGTGTATGTGTGTGTGTGTGTGTGTGTGTGTGTGTGTGTGTGTGTGTATGTATTTACCCAAGAATGGTATAGCTAAATCTTGAGGTAGATCTATTCTCAGCTTTGGAAATGGCACATTGATTTTTATAGTGAATGTACAAGTTTGCACTCCCACCAGCAATAGATGAGTGTTCCCCTTACTCCACATTCTTGTCAACGTGGGCTGTCATTTGTTTTATTGATCTTGGCTATTGTGAAGGGTGTAAGACGGATTTCAAACTAGTTTTGATTTGCCTTTCTCTGATGGTTTAGGATGTTGAACATTTCCTTTAGTGTTTCTCAGGCATTTGAGTTTTCTTTTTTGTAAATTCTCTGGCTAGATCTGTACCCCATTTAAAAAATTGTGTGATTTGTTTTCTTGGTATGTAGTTTTCTGAGTTCTTTGTTTATTTTGGATGTAGCCTTCTATTGAATATATAGTAGGTAGGAATCTTTTTCCATTCTGTGTGCTGCTACTTTGTCCAAATGGAGGCCATCACAGAAAACCACAGCTGATCAAAATGCAGAGCACAATTGATCACGGGGTTTCCAGCCCCCATGGATACATACATAACACAATTCATACATTTAAAACTCCAGGGATTTCTCAGAATAGGAACAAAGAAATTGTAAGAGCCAGAGACTGGGGAGCCTACTTGCATCTTGTAGAAATTACAGAAAAGCTGCATCTAAAAAGAGTTTTAAAAAATGACTTAGTTCATTTCCTCATTCCTTGAAGATGTCTTCAACTGGTACTTTTCTCTTTACTAATATGCCCATCTTCTTTCTCAGCAAAACATATTTAGCATTTCTTTAATCAAATGTGAATATCCCACAATTTTAAAGCCTAGGAAGAAGATATTTGTTTTTCAGCAACTGACTTAAACAATTAGAAATTATCAATAAGTTATGCTTGCTCAAAATACATTGATCAAAGAGCCAGCCCATGAGTTCATTTCAGAGGCAGTCCCTGTTCCTATTACCAGGGAACCCACTTGGACACTGAGCTGCCATGGGCTACATCTGTGCAGAGGTTCTAGGCATTCTTCTCCATGTAGGAGAAGAGGAGGAAGGGAGGGTGGATTGGGAGGGGATGGGTGAGGGGACTACAGCTGGGATACAAAGTGAATAAACTGTAATTAATAAAAATAAAATAGAAATTAAAAATGCATTGATCAAAATCAACATTTCCAAAGGACTTTCCCCTCTCTTTTAACAATGTACTAAAGCGTGTATATTTAATGCCCTTGGAAAAATCATAACTTCTAATTTTCCATCTTTGACTTTGAACACTGCCCAGGTTTTCACTAATTAGCCAACAAAAGGATGAAAATTTTTTCCACAATTCTCCAGTGTGATATCTGGCTTAAAACAGATAATTAGAACTTCAAATGCAAGCACATGAAGCAGAGTTTAACTGTTATTTCACGAATAGTAACATGGGTGAGGAATCACTAGTATTCTACAAAATGAAAAAAAAATATGACTGGATCATAAGTTTCATTGTATATATAATTCTTTAACTTTTAAATAGTATGCTTAATTCTCTGAAAATTTCATGCTTTTATGCTGTGTATATTGACCATACACATTCACTGCTGCTCCTTCTACCTCATGTTACTTCCCTCATCTTCTCCCCTCCATGCCTCATTTTGACTCTTAATTTATTTTTGTTATGAGTAAATTATTCTTAAATCTTTTAAAGAAACTAATTTTTGTTTTAAAGAAAACTAATTTTATCATTGAACTTACCATTAACAGAGCATGCTAGCATCACCTTTTCTTGAATGTAAATACAATAATATTAATTGGCCAATATACTCGATGAAACCAACATTTAATATTGATAGACAGAAAAAAAATAACATAAATGAATATTTCAGGTTAATTAAAAGCAGTGATAAGATGTGAATTTTTTAAATCAGTGATATTTAGTCTCAGTTACATCTGTGAGCATCTCAGCTCATGCCTTAAACAACAAGAAATTCTTTTAAACCACTTTTAAAATACCAGAGAAATCATGAGAAAATACATATATGTCCAACTAATTAAATCTCACACTTTCATAAAAATTATCATAGCTGAAATAATCTTCTGGAAACTAGTTAATACCAGATCCTAGTTATTTAAGCTGCACAGAGACCTCTCTACAGGAAATCTAAGGGGACAGAGTCCCAAAGGAAAAGAAAGAAAAATTTTAAAACATGCAAAGCAATTAAAAAAAAAACATTAGTAGGCTTTTCATATTTAAAAACCGAGTTAAAATAAGTTTATTAGAGGAAGGTGTGATGTACTATGGAGCTGAGTAAGGAAGATAGCCAGTTCAATTCAGATTATTTACATAGTGAGACCTTATCTTAAAAATAAAAACTCTGCTTAAGAGGATGGGCCAGGAGAATTATCACAACTCTCAGGCAAACCTAGGTTATATAGTGATTATCAGATCATCAAGGACTTTTTATATATTTTTAATGTAATTTTGTTTATTATAATTTATTCACTTTGTATCCCAGCTGTAGCCTCATCCCCATCCTCTCCCAATCCCACCTTCCCTCCCTCATCTCCTCCCATGTCCCTTCCCCAGTCCACTGATAGGGGAGGTCCTCCTCCCCTTCATAGTCTTCCTCTATGGAGTGGTAAGGCTGTTCCCCCCTTAGGAGTAGGTGATCAAAGAGTCAGCTACTGAGTTCATGTGAGAGACAGTCCCTGTTCGTCTTACTCGGGAACCCACTTGGAGACTGAGCTACCATGGGCTACATCTGTGCAGGGCTTCTAGGTTATCTCCATGAATGGTCCTAGGTTGGAATATAGCATGATTTTTGTCTCCAAATTGTTCATTTTTACAAGTAAAATGATAGAAAATACTACATTAAAAATAGTCACTTTGGGGAGTGGGGAGTGGCACAGTGGGTAAAGAAGTGCTTGCCACGCAAGCACCCCTCAAACCCACACAAAAGATAAATACAGTGTGTCTGTATCCTAGAATTGCTGATCCTGAGATGTCACTCACTGGTCAATCAACCAAGCAAACACAGGGAGCTTCAGGTTCAGTAAGAAATTGTATCTCAACATTTAGGTCAAGTCACCGAGAATAGTCACATTGATGCTGGCCTCTGGCCTCTCTACATGCCTGTGTTGCCTTGTGCATTTGAATACACATGCATCACTACCACCACACACACTGAAATAAAAATTAAAATTTCATTTCAAGACTGTCAT